CATACTGTAATTCACTCTCTGTTGGCTTAGATTCTCTTGTGTCTCTCTTTCTAAGACTTCTCTTTTATTAAATCCCGGAAGACCCATGGCTGTAATCCTGGCTACTTTTCATTTTCAGAGTTTTCATATATATAAGCCCGCAGACAAGCAGATGTGTTTCTTTGGGTCTGTCACCCAGAAAAAGAGAGCATGAAGGTGGTAGCTGGGGTAAACCTCACTGTGGAAGGACTTAAATCCAGTGATGCAGTAGTCTCTATGAAGATTAATGAGAACACTTGTTTTTTAAATACAGGTTTTTGGAAAAAAGGTATTAAGTTACAGGAGGTCAAAGAGAAAGTTTGGGAGGAAAACGGAACATTATTAAATAGAAATAAAGAGACATTACAATGAGGTTTTGTGAGCTGATTATAGCATGAAATTATTACATTGAAGGATTGTTGCTTGGTTTGGTTTCTTCCTCCTTTTTGTTTTCTTCTGAACCTACATTCCCATGCAGTAAAAGTTTCAATACTGATATCTTCGGTGTTCCTCCTCCTTTTTTAAGTTGGTCATGGCTACTCTTTCCAAACACATTTTCACCTTGTATCTCAGTCTTCCTCATATCTTCTACTTGTCCAAAGATTTTCTGAGCATATTGCAATAGCTTTTAGCAATCCTTTTACATCTTTAGTGTTATAATGTTGAATATTGCAGTATGAAAAGGAAAATAAAGTTTCTGCTAAGACTTGCTGTCTGTGGCTTTTTTTGTCAGTGTTGCTGGAAGAGAGACCCCTGTTTCAGCCTGTCCCACAGATGGCAGCCTGTTTCTAGAACCAGCTTCTCATTCTTGGTATCTATGAGGTTTTAAAGTTGTAACGGTTGATGACAATAACTTAAGGCAAGGCATGAGGCCTGTGCTTTCAGTGACTTCTTCATCATGGTTCTCTCTTCTCTTCTTTTGTTACCTTTAGTGTCCCTGTCAGTTCTGGGCAAGAAATGGCCAAAATGGTTTTGAGAATCTTGGCTAAATCCAGTCAGTTGCCTGTCTTGTTAAGCCATAGAATTAAGTCCCTGGACCATTAAAATTGTACTGCGTCTCCACATCTCATTCTGGTAACATCCAAACCTCATCTGTGGGGTAAAAAAAGTGGTACCTTGGCCCACTTATCCCTGAGCTGTTTGTAAAGATGTGACAGTCTGAAGCATCTAAAACCAGAGAGCTGGTTATACAGCATAAGTTTTAGCAGTTCTCCTGCTCTCTCAGGATCAAACGGTGTTATGTTTTTAGTGAGTCAGTTGCTTTTGATTGGCACAGTGTTAGAAGTATTTTCTCATCTTTTGGCTGAGATAATAAAATTTAAAAAATGAGTAGAAAAAGGAACTAATTTTAAATAAGCATTCCTCAGTGCATGAGGAGAGAAAAGGGACTCAGGCTGGCATAAATCCTATTGTATTATTCTAGCACAGGGCAGTGTTTTTGGGGAGTGAAAATTTGACATATAGTTTTATTTTCAAACGTCATACTAATTTACATTACTCAGCCCTTTAACTGCCAAACTGTAAAAGTCCGTTATGCTACTGAAAGGAATATACAAATTATCCCCTGGCACTTCAGGCAGGAGTTTTACATATACACTGTTATTCTATCAGCCAGCTAGCTGCACGATTCTATTAAGGAGTAAGTGAGAAAATTATATTGCCAGCAAACTAATTGTACAAAGGAGTCTGAAATAAGTAATCAGAGCCCAGTTCTTTCTGAAAACCAGCCAGGAGATATTATGAATTGCTCAATCGTTGTTGTCAGCCCAGTTTAAAGACCCAGAGCTGCCATGTTGATTTTGTTCACTGTATAACACAGCTACCTCTCCAGCTGCTGACAAGACTGGGCAAACTTTTTCTAGCTGCTCAGTTTCAGCCTCTAGCATCCTGAAGTAAGCAAGTAAATGGTAGAGCTTCCTTCTGGATCTTCATTATTGAAATAAAATGCAGATCTGAGTATCTTGGATGGATATAGTGTACCTATGAAATTCATGTATAGAAGTAAATGAGAAATTATGAGAGCTCTAATGACCTGAAATGTGAGGTAAATTCAGTTTTTTGCCAAAAATATATCCACTCATACTAAGAGTGGTAGGTAAAACACATTTTGAGTATGATATATATCTAGATGCATATCCACTGCATTTATATGTGAAGTGGTGAAGAAATGTTAGTTCCTTGACCTCTTGCTGTGGTCTAGCCATATTCTAAAATGCTGAAACACTTTAGGGGAACCAGCTATGGCCATTGGTGAGACGTGGATCTTTACTGCCGCTACTATAACTCTACTGATGAGATAATTGGAGAAATTCTTTGCAACATCTTCAAAGTTTATTTTCCAACATCAAAAAAGAAGATTGAACATCTGCTGTAAAATACAATTCATTAAAACAAAGCAGCCTAAATTGAAAGGAGATTCCCCTTCTAAGCTAAAGTACTGGAATTTTAAGTGACTAGAATAATAGCTCCTTTTAGCATTCTTTAGGTAGCAAGAATTTACAGGAAAAATAATTTACATTGTGCATAATGTGCTGCATGCTAGACTGTTGCACTGTTTGTGCAAATGTGAAATGTCAGGGTACGGATTAGAAGTGTCTGCTTAAGCATATGAGCAATGTTTTTCTCATTCTGAATGCTACTTTTTGTTGTCAACATCTGTACCTTTGTGCCTTTTTACAAGGGCTCCTGCTACATGGGAGTGCTCCGCCTGCCTTGGTACAGGGCGTTAGTGCTTGAAGTTCTGTGTTGTAATCTCGATCTTGCTTTTCATCAAGATCATTTCTGACCTTGTGTAAAGATATCTTTGATCTTCCACAAAGAATTTCTGATTCCCTGTTTGTTTTTTTTTTTTTTTTTTTAAGGAGAGATGGTAATACATGTATTACTATAATATGATGAAGTTAATTAGATACAATTTGTGAAAGGCTTTGAAGGTCTTCCTGTGTAGTGGTTGTGCCTTACTAAGAATACTTCACTGGAGTGAGAGGATAATGTGAATCTTTTTTTAAGTTTACCCCTAAGTTTTTTAAGTTTCTATGTATTATTTTCAAACTTTCCTAATGTGGACCAGAAAGTTTTGCCGGAACTGTTAAGCTGAATTCCCTAGCCACTGTATCCTTTAGTTTCTTGAATGCTTTCTTCATAGGAGCTAAGGAAGGGGAAGAGGACTAAACTGGTTTGAGTTTTGTCAACAAGATCTATTAGCATTCAGACATACCAAGATCTGTTTTACTCACCAACATTGCTAATCCACTCATGCAGCAATGTCCAGGAGGAAGAAAGCCTACAAAGGCCTGAAAAGGTTCTGCCAAGTATGCTGGCTGTGTGGCAGAATACACATTGCATCATGCCGAACTCCTTTATCATAAATACTTAACCAATTTTCAATAGATGTAAGTGGTTTAAGTATTACTTCCTGTTGAATTAGCAGTTGCTGAGCATTTGAGTCTTTGTGCAATCCTGCAATCCACTAATGTGATATTTAATGAGGAGACATCAGTCTGGAGAAAGGTAGTCAATATAAATCAGTGTTTACAAAGTGTGATTAACTCTGAAATATTTCATCAATGCTGTGGTCCCAGGCAGACTCTATGCTAATTATTAGAACCTGCACATGTTTCAGGGGACTTTGATGGACCCTGAGTGCAGCAAACATGGAGCAGCAAAATTGCAATTATGCTCGGACTGTCTCTGATGACAATTTATGCATTTGGTGTGATGACCTCTTGCTTCCCAAGAGGGCAATAAACAGAATGCATTTTCATTAAGATACTAATGCACTTAATCACAGGGGGAAAGGGTTAGAAAATAAAGAAATACCTTTAAAGCAAGATGTGACAGCCTGATGGGGAAGATACTTTATTGAAAAGTCAGTTTCCTGGTGAAACTTCTGACTGCTGCAAGGTCTGTCATACTGAATGTAGTCATGGGCAATAGGATGCATGGCTGGGCAGATGAGTAAGCTGAACTAAGCTGTTTTGTGAAAAGTGCAGTGGTACTCGGGCAAAAGAGAACAGATGTTCTCCCATTTGGACTTATATACTCAAAGATGTGAGTTAAAAAAACATAAAGAAAATTAGTCGTATATATTTTACTAATTCATTTACAGGCTTTTATTTTCTTATTTTGGGGGTGAAGTATGTACTAAGCAGTAACCACAAGGGGAAAAAAAACGAAGAGACTGTTTTGCCCAGGAGGGCTCACATTTAAGGATCTAGCTTGTTTTAGGCCTTAAGGAGAGCTGGGAGAGGGAGACACAGAGGCAAGCATCTCTTCCAGTTTTTGTTATTCTGACAGCTTGGCAAGAATGATCCTATTCCTGATGCTTCTCTGTACAAAAACTTGGTCTAAAGTATAGAGGGAAGGGGCGATGTCCTGGAGGAGAGATGTGACCTGGCAGCTGTAAAAATGCTAGATGTGGTGGTAGCAATGCTGGCGAACCCTGCCTGATAGACTGTGCCTGCTGTAGAGGAAGTAGAAGGGTGAAACTCTGTAGTACCTGTTACAGTTGATTGTGCAGTAAAGCATGGCAGTCCTCTTTATGTATTCTAAACAAAGAAAGGCTAATGAAGTTGGCAAAAAAGGAAAATGAAGAGTGTTCAGACTAGGAGCTAAGCATGTGACTTGGTACAGAAAATAAATGACGAAATTTCTTCCTTCTACCATAAGGAATAACCTATGTGAAGGATTTTGCTAGGGACCATGTATGGAGTCAGACACAGACCCACATTAATTGTGGTTTTGTGTATATTTCTTTCATGTAGATATGTCTAGATTATTAAAAAAAAAAAAAAGGAAAAAAATCTCATCTTTTAACTCAGCTGTTCATTTTTACTTGCAAGGTGTTTCCTTTCTGAAGCACTGTTTGCTCTTGATATATTCCAAAATGAAACACAACAACAATTTTACGAGTGCTTAGTATGTCCATTGTGTTGGTTAGCCAGTGCCTCTGAACACTTCTTTTCCTGTACTTTCTGTTGCAGGTAACATAGAATACAGCTGCCCAGCAACGAATGAATGTGAAATCACAAAGCGCAGACGCAAGTCCTGCCAAGCCTGCCGCTTCATGAAGTGTCTAAAAGTTGGCATGCTGAAAGAAGGTAAGACTGACCAAGTCAATGTGTATCTCTCTGCAAACATATGCAACAACTGTAGGGCAATCAGGAAAGAAGAGAGACTGGTGAGTGTTCTAATCAGTTGTTGTGAAGGCAATTTTCATGTATACTTGCTCTTTTTGATAGTCTGCTTCTCAGCTATCGAATCATACTTTATCCACATAGAGTTCCTCACCTCCAGAGTATTTCTAATCTTATGTAGTACAGCAAAATGTACCTCAGCAGACAATCTCCTTCAATAGGTAACTAATAGAATAATCATCAGAATTCTCGAAGATTTCTTTCCTCCATTCCTTATCCACTGTTAGTCTGCCCCAGTTCTGGCAGAAAACCAAAACACACACTGTGCCTTCTTTTCCCTGTTTTTACTCAGTCTTCACTGTATCAGGACAAATGAAAAGGTTACTTCTCAATTAAACAAGTATAAATATTGAGTATCTGTACTGAAGTTACTGTAACTACACTGGAGCAAATAATGGCATGCAGAAGAGGAGAATTCATCCCCCTCTCTCTTTTTCCTTAATGCATATGAGAACCCCTATCCTTCACTGTAAGTATGAGCTGAATGTTTTAATTCATCATTTACATTTTGAAGATATTGAATAACAGGTAAACATAAAATATTTTCAAGAAACGATGCTGTCTCACCTGGGACCTGATTCCTGTGTGTTACTGAAAGAGGCAATTCCTTAAATCTTAGTTACCTGTTATGCACTTCTATTGCTGTTAATGTATATGCAAAAATACATTTTTATGTGCATGTATTGTATATGCTGTTACTGTAGAGCACTGTAACCACCAAGAAAGATGTCATGGACTTCTGAACTAGATAAACATTTGAAATAAAATCAATGTAATGTTCTCTAAATATTAATATCCAATGGAGAGTACTTTGTGTTAAGCAACAACTTTAAAAATAGTTCTATGCAATTTTGCTTTGTCAGTGCTTAAAACTCAGCTTTGATAGCTGGCTGATTTTTGCAAATAATTTGATGGTAATTTAGAACAGCTTTAAGTATACAGCTATCAAGGTAAAATCCAAGAACAACATAGACCAGTGGAGAGATGATGAGCAAATTAGGTCTATCACGCACCTACAGACATATTCTTATTGGATTATACTTACTAAGAATAAACCTTGTTCTGTGCAACTGCTTTGGCAGATGCTATGATCCTGTGAGCCAAATCCTGCTGTCCTTAGTCTTACTTGAGCAAAACTCCTGTCAGATTCAATGGAGATTTTGCCTCAGTAAGAACTGCAGGATTTGACCCTCTCTTCCAGTGGTGATGGGAGAGTTCTTACTTGCCAAAATCCTCGTATAACTGACCACTAGGAGCAGTTACTTAAAAGTGAAATTAGGATGCTTAGATAAACTGTAGGAAGAAAGAGATGACTGGGTATGGCACCTTTTGAAAGGGACTGTGCTTCTTAACATCTTTTTTTAGTAAGTTAAGACCCCATATCACTAATAACCTAATATACAGATATATTGGGCAACTTGTTTGGAAACGGAACAGTGCTATCAAGAGTACATGCAGGTAAATTGATATAGTCCTTTTCTTTTAAATTTTGAGGGCACCACTGCAAATCCATTAACATATATATTGAAAAGTCTAGGCTGTGTGCAGCTTCTGGGACTGCATGAGGAAGTTAAGTGTCTCTTCTACAAATGAGTAATTATCTCAGTTACCAAAATTGTGCACACATTTACTGTGTTTCTGCATACAATTTTGTTAACTGAGATAATTTAGTTAGACAATTCAGATGTATGTTGTAAGTCAGATTTTTTCTTATGAATGTTCTTTGTCCGTGGATTCAAATTAATCCCACAAGTTTTATTAATCAGAATTTCATAAATTTTCTGCTATTAAAGTACATATCTTTTTCTGAATGTTCTACAATGACAAAATGACTAGTTTCTTTGAAAAGAAGGTTTCTTTGTTAGCCTCACTCTTGGGCACATCTTAGTTCTTCCATGCATGTTATGTGAGGTTTTTCTGTCAAAACACAGTAAGATTTCTACTTATTTTTAATTACTGAGCCTTTTAATTTAGGGGAGAATCAGTTTAGCTTTTCAGGTGTTGCTTGTCTACCACCTAATAGGACAACCTACAAGAACCTATAAGGGCATTTTATTTTCTTTCCCCCTTTAGTGGCCACTTTTACTTTTGAAACCATACATTTGTAGGACTGTACTTGTAACAAAGAGGGGTTTTTTCTAGTGTTCTTGTTGGAAGGTAGTTTTGGAGATGAGTGTTGTTGTTTTTACCTATGGGAAAGTCTGGGGATGACTTTTTGGCTGTCCTTTAGGTACAGTATGAAGAAAGATGATATACTGGCTTCTTTCATATGTAAAGTGGTATAAATTTATTGATTAACATGGACTTAAAATAAGCTGAAATAATTCTTGCTGTATCTTAAAAATTTCTTTATGTACAGACAAGGATTTCAGTCCCATGCAGCATGTCAGAGATCATGCTGCAGTAAATCTATTCAAATGTAAACCTGTTCAATTCAATTACCAGTTTATAATAAAATTTGCTGCTGCAGCCTCCACGTTTGTCACAGCAGTCTCTACATGCTGATGGCACAGCATGCCTGGAAATTGACAGCCTAAATCTATTTACAAAAAAAATTTAGTTGCAGACCTGAAATAAAATCAAGTTTAAGCAGCTTTGAGAGGAGCATCACATTCCTTACAAGAACTGCACATCTGCCAGGGTGTATCTTCTCCAGAAATCTTACGCTGTTTGTGGGGAGTTTTCTTCTAGAAATTTACCTTAACAAACATTTTTTTTAAGTATAATCCGAAGTGAAACAATTATCACAGTTCTTCCTGTCACATTTTGGAGGATTTTATTACACTGTCATTTTGTGAATTGTATAAATGATAGAAAATCACAGAAATTTTATGATTTCTGTCATAAAAATGATAGAAATCACAGTGCCTGGAAAAAGATTCTGAATTTTAGTTTAGCTTCTGGGGCAAGGTCCAGAAACCACTTATAGCAAATGTATAGGGTGGCATCCCTTATGACATCTGCATGTTAATCATTTATTATGGCAAGATAATGGTGTTTTTATGAAATGTCCATGGTTTCTGCAAGAGACGTAGTGTTACAATTTTGGGGCTGTATTTTGGTGTCAAATTCTGGGAGGGAATTGGATTTCTGGTCAAATGTAATACAGAGTGGAGTGGGTATTTTCAGGTACATATTCTCAAGAATGTTGATATGCCAGAGCCAGCAACACCTGGATCAAGATTTTTAACAATTTATAAGTCATGGACCAGCAACCAGAGAAGGAATGGTAAAGTAATGCCGTATTGGGCTAAGCTGGAGTGGGATTGAGGTCCTGGCTCCTGTCTGCATCTCCTGTTGACTGTCACAAGAAAGTTAGTACAGACTGATCCAGATGAACGTGTCCTTTTGGTTTAGCCCATGGACTGTTACTTGAAAACATGTCTGGGTGTACGGATGTTAATTTTGAGTACGTGTCATTCTTTATGCTGAAGCATTCAGCAGATGCTGATTAGCTTTTGAACATATGACAAATATGAGGGTGTCAAATTTTCATTTACTTTTCTAGGTAATGATTATTAGCAGCACAGCAGAATACATTTCACTCAAAGAAGAAATTTAACATTTTTCTATTTTTAATTTTGCGTGTCAGTATAACGAAAAGTTGGATTTTCAAGTATTACAGTTGGTTCTCCCAAAATACAGTTTCTTTGACTGGACTCATGTTTTGATGGATTCTCTCAGATTCATGAGAACTGATGAAACAACATTAAAGATTCTTGTATAGTCCAGGGAGAAACTTTTTAAATGTATCCCTAGAGATTTCTTGAAATAATATTGCAATTGCTAAAAGAGTGCAGGGAGACAAATACAAGAATTCACCCTTTTTAAAAATGAACATTTTTAAGACATTTCATAGTTTTCAATTCTATTATTTTATACTCAGTATTTTAAGTTTGGCCTTTCAAACTCTTTAGAGGCTGGTGATTAGTTTGATTCAGGTGGTAGAATTAAATCTGTGTTCATGAGCAAGATTGGGTGTTTTAGCTATTTCTCTTTTTATACAGCTAGTTGGATTGAGAAAAAGGGGTTGATGCTCTTCCTTTCTAAGAAGGAAATTGGGATGTAAAACTGTGCAAGATGATATGGGAAATCATGGGTAGTTATCTGCCTTTTTACCTTTCTATTGCTAGTTGATCTGGTTAAATTCTACGTTTAATCTTCAGTTAGTACTATATGCCTTTTAATACTATCTGTGGGGCTATTTACTATCATGTGTTTGTGGTAGAAGATATTATTCCAAGTTTATTATATGACAGATCTTGCTCAGAAGAGCTACCCATGTGAAATAATTCCAATGGAGTAATTATTCCAAAATAAAATTACTTTTTGTTTCAGACATAGCATTTACATAACTATTCTTCAAGAGGTTGTTCCATATGTTTCAGTTTTCTCCACAGAGGCAAAGCCATAGCCTCAATTTTATCTGTCCCTGTAGTGTAGGAAGGTTAAATATTGCAGTTCACTAACTCAACTTTTAGACTATCTGAGATATTGTATCCTGTTTTACTTCTCACAGTTCTGTGCAACGCTAGTTCATACTTCTTACGGGACTGTTGACACCAAAACATCTCCCATGTATCTCTCATTTCTGATATCTGGATGTTTTCAGAATTTTTTACAGATTGTGTGCAGTGGCTGATCTGTGTTGCTTGTTATTTCAGAAATTCTACTTCATAAGTGGGTGATACATGGAAACAAATTTAAGTTAATATGAAAAGTAAACCATAATAAAATGGCAGAAAATTTGGGTTGCTTCGTGTAAGTATGGTTGTATTTTTCTTATGAATGGACGGCCTTTAAAAGTTATCATCAGTCACTTTGTACCCAGTTAGAATAGGCAGAGTAACAGAATTTCAGCTTAATTAGCCCAACAATTACAAATGAGAGGCCAGATCCTCACC